AATAGATTTGATTTTTATTTTATATTATAAAATTTATAAGCATTTAAGACCGTTAAATTGCTTCATTGTCACAATGCCGTTACATAATTCCACTCGAAAGTGTGGAAAATTAGTTAAAATGGCAGCAATTTTTTTGTATTTTATTTATTTTTTTTTTTTTGCACAATGTGATTCAAACCACAAATTCGAAACTGCTTTGCAAGAGTCTATAAAAACTTTAAAGGCAAACATGATTATATAAAGGTAGATCGCTGCTAATTAAGCGATAATTTGATATCAATTAAGGTAAATAATAGCCAAAAAAAAAAAAAAAGAAACAGCAAAACATTCTATTCCATCTATATTAATAGCTATACTAAAAAGCGAATTTTGTTATTCTAGAATTTCATTTGACTTAATTGATATCGAATAATGCCTAATTAGCGGCGAGCTACCTTTTTGACGCCTTGACCCAGTCAGGTGGGCCAGCTGGTTGGCTAAATGTAGCATAGTTTTGGCCACATTTGCCCCACTCAAGTGTGCCAGTGGCATTAAGATATGAGCACCTGCGTCTATCTCTTTGTGAGTGCGAGTGTGTGTGTGTGTGTGTGTTGGTCTGAAAGCCGCATTAAGATTCTAGGCTAACTTTTGAGCTGTTTGGCCAGCAAACCGGTCCGAATACTCAGCATGCAGCTCTATGTATGGCAATTATCGAGAGCTGCTGCTGCCTGTAGCTGGCACTTGCTTTACTTTTCCTTTTGCACAATTGCCGGCTGGGCGGCAAATGATATGCGGCGGCTTGCCAAAAGGAAGTTCATAATTTAGCCATGGCTAATAAGCGTGCGCACTTCACAGGAAATCCAATCAGCCGATGACAGTCAATCAACTCAGTCAAGCCGATTGCAATGAATGAACTTGAAATCGCATGTAAATGAGACGAACTAAAGCCAAAGTGTCGCCAGTCGAGCACTTCGAGGCGATCGCTCGACCGTGCCAGCAGCTTGTAAACAGTCAACAGTCAATAGCAAGTGGCAAGTGGCAAGTGGCAAGTGGCAAGTGGCAAGTGGCAGCTGGCAGGTGGGAAAGGGGGGACGAACTACACGAGGCGTTGCATGCAAAGACTCAAAAAAAAAAAAAAACAATGAACAACAAAATGTAAAAAAAAAATCTACCAACTTGTAATTATATAATTTATATATATATATATTAAACGCTGCGACCCGTTGACAATGACATTTTCCGACGACATTCGTAAGAGTTGCTAAACGATGCGCTTAAGGTAAGCGAGCGGGGGTAGGGGCGGGGCAATGGCTAGGTATTTGTACTTTTGGTAACTGGAGGTTGACATTTGTCTCTGGTCTAGCGCGTTACGAGCGCATAATTATTATTATCATTATTTAAATTCAAGTTTCAGGCATGAAAATTGCAAAACTCTCGAGGGACAGGGCACAACAACAACAACAACAACAACAACAACAACAACAACAACAACAACGACAACAACAACAACAACAACAACAACAACAACAACAAGCAAGCATATCAAGCCATTACAAGCAACAACAAACATATTGTTAAGACAAATTATAACATGAGCATGGCAGGGTATCTTTGCCTTCGCCTGCGTCCAACTGTCCAACTGTCCAGCTGTCCGCCTTGCAGCTCCGCCCCATAATCATGTGTCATATTTATTAGCCAAGTCAATGCACCTAAAAACTCCTGTCTGTGTGTGTGAGTGAAGCCGTTGAAGTCAGCGCTGTGGCGGGTCGAGGTCATTCATCCACATACATACATTCACACATATACACATACATACATACGTTTATACATGTATGTAACGATGTAAGAGGCAGCTAAGACCCCTATTGCCCAGTTATTGCAGCGTATTGTGTATTGGTGCAGGAAACCCTCATGTCTGGCCCCACTCGGCCACTCGCATGGCGTACTTAATAATGATGGTGAATCGTAAAAGTGATTGCTTCATAGTTAGTTGGTAGAACTAAATGGTTTTGTGTCTTGCCTAATTAGCCAGTGCTACGCATCCCGCTGACAGTGGGGCAAGCTATGAAGTTAGTTTTAGAGTTGATAAAGTTCTCATGGGCAACTGCTATATGATAAATGGGTTCATAGAACATATATATATATATATATATATATATTTATGTGAATACATCTTTGACTTAAAAATGCAAATAAATATACAAGTTTCTGAAGATCTGCGTCACTTAAACTGTAATTAATTAATTTGGAAGAGTTTTTTAATTGCTGTACATTATTTGGTCAGTTTTATTATTGCATAATATGCACGTAATTATTTATATTATATCATTTCATTTTACATGTAATAAAAGCAGAAATATTGTTGGCCATTAAAGCAAATGTGAATTTACATATAAATTAGCCGGCAAATAAAATGCAGTTCATATACGTAAATATATATGAAAGCAAAGAAAGAAAAAGAAAAAGGAAACTTTTCATTTCCTTTTCGAGCTGAGTTTGCACCAGGGTGCAATGGCCGGAAAGGCTGAGCTACTTTAGAAGCTAGTAAATGCCATAGCTTTGCATTGCAGGCAATATCAGCCGCAATAGCAATAGCAACAACAGCAACAACAACAACAACAACAACAACAACAACAATAACATTCATGGGAAATTGGATTGCAGTCAAAGGCAAACGGAAAACCATCAACAAATTTGATTGACAGCCCACCGCAAACAGATGCGCCGACAGCGGCAGCGACGGCGACGACGACGGCGACGGCGACCGCGATGCCAACCGCCAAGAGGGCGAACACAAATGAATTTGAGCTGAAAGCCAAATGAATCAACTTCAACTGTATTGCCAGTGTTTGGAATCGTTTGAATCGCTGCCATATAGCCGTGTTTACGGCTAAATGAAATGAAACCGGAAGTTTGGCTGCCAATGCGGCGGGCACGTCCCCAACGCCGATAGAGAGGTGGGTAGGGGGAAGTGACTCCGAAGCCCAGACAAACCGAAACCAAAACCAAAACCAAAACCAACATCAAAGCCAACACCAAAATCAAAACCAAAACTAAAACCAAACCAAATCGCATCGCATCGCATCGAAGTGAGCCAAGTTCGTTCAACTTTGCTGCGTTTCTTGACCATTTAACAATGGCGTTGCCACTGCATTCGTTTTTGATTTGTTTTGGGGAGAAATGGTTGGGGGTGGTGGGGCGTTGCCAGACAATTGAATAACTGGAGGCAGCCTCCAGCCATTAAACTGCGAGTCGTTGGGAACGCAAATTTGGTGTTTGGGGCACAGCCACTGGGCCACACCTATTTTTTGTGTTAATTTTTTTTTGTGTAACGTTTTTTTTTTTGGCCAGATGTCGCATTGCGTTAAAGCTCACCTTCGCGGCCATGCCGAATGTGGGTGTGTTTTGACGGAATTTATGATAATGATGATGATCATGTTATTGCTGTTGTTGTTTGTGCTGCTGCTGCTGTTGATGATATTGATGATGTTGCGGTGCGTCGACTTTTGTGCCACAATAAAACTAAAGATGGGCTCTTGATAACAATTTATACAGATTCATGCACACACACGTACACCTACACACACACACATATGCGAACATTCCATAATATCCGCAGAATGTTTTCTTAACCTTCCTGGAATTTCGTAATACTTTTATGCCAGGTTTTATAGCCAGAAATTTAAATGTTTGTGCTTTGATTTATTTTATGCTTTATTTGACATTTATTCTATCAGCAATTTGTGATATAACTGTATAGCTAGATATGAGTTAAGGTTGTCTGAGCCACAAACAAGTTAAATAAAATAAGCATAATAAATAAATTCACGATCTTCAGTCTTCTTCTTCTTGGCAGCCTCTTCGCTCAAGAACTTATTTATAGGTTTGTTTTTTATGTCTCGACAACGGTTGATCAGTCTGATTAGATCGCTTGAGATATTGCTAGTATGAATAGCAGTCATAGTTACTTATGGAGCTCCAAAGCTGCAAATTTGGCAGCAAACAATCATAAATTACTAACACAATTAGTTCCATAGAAAACTTTGATTGTAATAATGCTTTGAGAACTGAGAATTGACGGCTATTTTTATAAATCTTAGCAAAAAGTATAAGAATTGCTAAGATAAATCTCCAAATAAATATATACTTACAAAAAAAAAAAAAAAATAATAATAAATAAATAAATAAATAAATAAAATGAAAACAATTGTAATATGTTCTAAAAAAACTAAACAAAAAAGTATAATTAAAAAAAAAAAATAAATAAAAATGATTTGTTTAAACATAATAAAATGCTTAGTCTATTTTTATTTTATTTTTATAAATGATTAATATTCTAATATTAACAGCTTAAGAAAAAATAATTGTAATTTTAAAATAAAGCAATGAGAAAACTTTTATGTTATTTACTTATTTTTATTGAATATATTTATATCAAGTTATTTAATTATTGTTATTCAGCATTGGCAACGTTATATAAAAAATGTAACAAAGATCAAGATCTACAAGAAAAATAAAAATTGTGTATTTATAAAAGAAAATAAAGTCAAAAACTAAATAAAATATACAAATTATGATTATGTAAAGTTATAATATAAAATGTAAATAAATATAAGTAAAATAAAATCCCCTATAAAACATCATAAAAAAGGTAATTAAGGTTAATTGCTCAGCTTATATTTTTGGTAATGTTTGTCTAAATTAAATTAAATTAAAAATACTTTGTTTTTTTTTGCCATTAAGAATTTTTGCCAACGGACTTTGCATGACGTCTAAATAGTTTTTTTCTATCCAAATTCATAAAATACATTTAACTAAATTGTGTGAAATTCTTAGTGTACGCAATTCTATTGTTTAGTCGTTGAAAAAACGTTTTGCCAACTGTGTGCTATAAAAAAGAAGAAGAATAATAATGAAAAATATTCATTAGTTCCAGCAACGTTAGACAATGGAATAATAAAATATTTGTTGGTGAAGTGAACGCCCAATTCATATCGAAAAAAAAAAACACAGACTAAAAATACTATTGCTAATGCGGATATAGCTTTATTCGTGATGTGCAAAGAAACGTGTGTGTAGATATATATACATATGTATAGATATAGTTATGTATATATGCATCAATTGATATAGTTCAATATAGATTTGGGTTTAAATATTTCTTGATTATGTGTAATCGAATTTAGGAATCGCCCTCAGCCTGATTTGTAGCATCCACTTGCATGTTAGGATTTTCTCCATTGGCTGTTTTGCTTGCCTCATACTTGATGCGATAGGTAGCTTGCGGATCGTAGATCTTCTCCAGACGCAGCCAGTCCTCGGGACGATTGTCAATGAGATGACGGGTTACCTTATCGGCGCCATATTTTTGCTTCTCGGTGCACTTGGCGCAGTCCGTCATCATCGCATCGGGCAGGATGTCTGGGAATGATAATTGGGTATCGATTGAGTGTAAATTGGGAATTACAGTCGAATCTCGATAGATAGAAAAAATAATCCATCTCCTTGAAAAAATTCGTTCTCAATAATTCTCGATAATTTGAATTTCTTTGAAAATCGAAAAATCGAAAATCGATTCTATTGTATTTTAATTTTATTTTTTTCATACATACCCTTTAACATTTTGGCATCGGGTGTACAGGGTCCTTGACTCTCCAGGCACTTGATATAGTTGTTGAGTAAACGCTCCTGGCTCAATATCTCATCGATGTCCACATTGTCGAATTTGCTGTCATAGGCACTGCCGGATGCATCCATTAGAGCCGCCGGCATCGCAGTGGTTGCGGGTGGATGGGCACGGCCGGGCACAACCTCCAGCAGCAGCAACACCGCCAGCAGCAACAGTTGCAGTTGCATCAGCAGCGTTCTAGTGAAACGGAACATGGCGAAAAGGGCGTTGGAAATCGAGTGATACCAATTGACAGATCGAGCTTAGCTTTTATAGATGCTGCTGCTGCTGCTGCTTCTACTGCTGCTGCCCACAGGGCTTGTGGAATTGTGGTCCAGTTGCGCATGATGTGCGTGTCGCTGGGCAATTTGAGTGTGCGCCACAATTTGGCCAAATTGCACGGCAAATTAACTGCATTTAGTTCAGCTGCTGTCGCATGCGACGTATGCGAGTGTGGGCCAAAAGGAAGCCATTGCTCTTGGCCAATGGCAGACAGCGTGCTAACCAACTTCAACTGTAAATTGTGCAACAGCGCATTCTCCGCACAGCAGTGTGTGTGTGTGTGTGTGTGATTCTTGTGAGTTGGCATTTCCGGACCCAGCTCAGCCCAGCTCCTTGCCACCTTGCTACCTTGCCGTTGGGTTGACATCGTTTGATGTGTCTTTGTTTTTGGCTTTTGGTTTTTGGCTTTCATTCTGTTACTACAATACATTAGCATAAATACATACATTTCTATTTAGGTCTGATTGTGTGATTGTGTGCACGTGTGTGAGAGCCAGGTTTGGGGCCAACACAGCAGCTGATGGAACAAAAAGCCACCTGACCAGGTCGCAGCATTGCCGCAGATTTTGCCCATTTCATGCTAGCAGCTGCTGCAGCACTCTTTCTCTCTCTCTCTCCCTCTTTGTCTATCTCTTTGGCCGGTTGTCTTTCTTCGCCTCTGCGTTTATCTGTGAATAGAACATGCAGAGCTTGACTCTGACTCTGGACTATTGCCAGCGCTTTTAGCAACTGGCCAAGAACTGTTCTTGTCTGTGAGTCGTGGATTGCAGACGTGTCTCAAGCGCAGCGCGAGTGTTTTTTTCTTTGCCTCAAATAAAACTCTCCTCCACTTACCTGCGACTGTATGTGGGTCTGTGTCCGTGTGTGTGTGTGTAAGTCACTGTGAATCTTATAAAATGCATTCGCAATATCTTCGCAAACTGACCCAAATGGAAGACACAAGAAATTGCATAAATAAATAGCACAAGACCTGAAGGTCAGCTCGTATATTCAATATGAATTATTGAATATTTAACTGCAAGAAGAGTATATTGGTTTTTATAAACTATTCAAAGTGCATTAATATATAGAAAAAAAATCCTTGTCGACAAATGCGTTTAGAAAGTGCCAAAAAATTCAAATACAAATATTTCTGCAATTATCAAAACTATTAAAAAGACTTAACAGAGCATCATACAGTCGCCTATGGTCGATTGTAACCCTTAAATAATTTTTTTTATTTATTTATTTTAATTTTTTTTTTTTTTTTTGAATGTCATGCATATGAGTTATTTCATATATATTCAATAATCGGTTTTGAGTACAATAACTTTTGCTGAATTGATTCAAATTGTTGTCGATTTCCAATACAATATATTAAAGTTTCGTATTTACTTTGCGATTGTGTTTAAATTGTGTTGAATTCGTAATTTTATTAAATTTTTTTCCCCCATTTTGTCGCTTGCTTGTTTTGGCGTAGTTAAGTTCACAATAGACTGAAATAAAATGAGTTGCAAATCGCCTTTGTCGTACCTGCTGAAATTGGAGCAAATGGTAAGCGGACGTGTTTCAGATGTTTTAATATTTGCTATATAATATGATAATGACCATTATATTAAGTGCTATTAATATACACACCCACACAGCGAGATAGGTGAGAAAGAGAGAGCGAGAGGGGGGAGGAGCACAGTGAGAAGTGGCCACACGTGCGTTTGCCAGATCTTTGATAGCTGCACAAAATTGTTGTGTTTTGTTTCCCTATTTTTTTTTTTAATTTTTTAAATTTTTTTAAAAGTTTTTTGTTGGTTTTTTTTTGGCTTGATCAGGTTGCTCAAAGTTGTTCTTAATTGCTTAGTTAGCCAGCCGCTCTGCCTACAGCTATGGACTGCCATGAACAGCGCTTGAACATCAGTTTCAGGTGTTTAAGCTGCGGCGGTACGGAGTTGGCCGTCGCCCAAATATGCGGAACGTGAATATTGCAAATGTTGCCCACCTACGTGATGAACGAACAAATACTTGAGTTCGACTACAAGTTCGAGTACTCGCACACAATTCTTAGTTATGGCAGCTGCGAGTTTTGACATTTGCCGCCATTGAACACACACACACAAGTGAATATACACCTGTGTTTCGCGGTGTATTCATTTCATTTATGTTTGAATGCAAATAAAGCGCTTGGTTTACATTCAAAGTCCATAGTCAAAAGAATTCTCACATTGGAATGCTCTGTGGCGCATCGCTAGAGGCCATAACGCCAGCCAATTTAACGGTTGACTCTTAACTTGGTTCTGGCTAATAAATATACGCTAAACGAGCTGGCAGCTGAGATAGAGAGAGAGAGAGGGAGAGAGAGAGAGAGAGAGAAGGAGAGGGGGCTTGTTAGATGTAAGGCTCTGGCTAGTTTTGTAGCTGGAGAAAATTTTGATTGAAAGCTACGCTTTCAATTTATTGAGAATTATTCTTAGTGCCAAAACCTACTCAATGTTTATTAAGTACATATATACATGTATGTATGTATATGTCTTTTTATTTTGATTTTTTTTTTTTTTTGAGTATTTTATAGCTAGCTTAATTGATTGCAGCTGAATATTCATATTGTAATTAATATCAATATATTACCAATATTTATTTATTTATTTATTTATTAACAAGCTACAATTAATATAAAATTAACTCTAACTTAAGACTAAGCACCGGCAGCAGGGGCCTTCGGCTGGATGGTGTAGTTTATTGTACTATAAATCATTTTTAGATTAATATGTACAGTTTTTTATTTTTATTATTATATTTACGTATTTACATATCATTTTATTTTTATCTAATCTTTTTCATGGGATTACAAATATATTTGCCTAAAGACCTTTGTTGTTCTGGCTTTAAACTAAATTGTTATTTAGAATTAATTCTCTGTAACCATTAAATAAATAAAAAATAATTAAAAATATATTTTGAAGCCTGATATGCATATACATATATCAATGAAATTGGTATTTTTAGGGTATTGTTATATATCAGATTTTGTACAGGGTATGTGGCTAATTATGAAATAACAGTCAGTTACCATAAATATTTTAAAACTATTTATATATGCACATATTCAAATTTAAAATAAATATTAATAATTATAATTATTTTTATTATAGGCCAGTTTTACTTAAATTGTTTTATGTACATCTAACATTTTTATAGCATAAATATTTTGTATATAATGTTTGTATTTTTATACGTATGTATAAAAATTATATTTGCATATGTAGGAATGATTTCTATTTTTTATATGGTATTAGTCATACACAATATAGACCTATACATTTTCTGCAGGGTATATGTGTGGTTGAGCAGTGTCACATTTCTTGCTCGACTCTCCCCTATTCCATACTCAAGTCTCTCAATAATTTTTCAAAACTTACAGGGTATTTTCTGTGTCGTGCAGCATCAATCAATTAGCTGACATATTTTTATGTTCTTACCTATGCATAGCTATGGTTGGTTTTGCTGTTGTTGTTGTTGTTGTTGTGGCTGTGCCTTTTAAGCGCCCACAATGCGACGTCGACTGTCAGTTGGGGCGTGTGGGGAGCTTCAGCAATTTCTATACGTGATTTGATGGGCAACACGGTTAGCTTGAGCTCAAATGTGGGAAAATCAACAGCGGTGGAGAAAAAAAAAAACATGCCAAGGTATTTACTCGTAACTCACCCGGCACTTTGGCAATGCCAATTTTCCAGTACATTTTCCAGCCAAATTGGTGTTGTTTTGTTTCTCTCAATTCGTTGTTGCTGTTGTTGTGTTTTTTTTTATTCATTTTCTATCATCATGTGATTAGAACAGCAGCAATGACAATCAGACGAAGAAGAAGCAGAACAGAACAGAACAGAATAGCAACAATCATTGGCAATTGGCCGTTTGCAAATTGGCGTCAATCAGAGCTGGCATGTGTAGATCACTCCGAATAAGTGATGTTGGAATGTATATATGTATATACATACATACATACAGACAGACAGACAGACAGACATACATATATGCCAAGAGCAATAGCTGTGTTGGCTGTTTAGCTTTAATTTGGCAATTTAGCCATTATTACCGCTGCTGTTGTTGTTGTTGTTGTTGTTGCTTCTGCTGCTGTTGACCATTTTAGCTGTGCCAACAATTTGCATTCAATATGCCACGCAGCACGTCATGTCATTAGCTGTTAATTATTTAATGTTCCGATGCGCCCACAGCCATCCAACCACATTTCTCAGCCAATCACAAAAATCACTTTGTTGTCAAATCAGTTTTTTAGCTCTCTCATTATTGCTCGCGAATAAATCAACAACAGTTACTGGAGTTGGTTTATTACTGTTTTTGTTTAATTTTGTTTTTACATTGTAAACAATTTGTAAACAAATCAATAATTCTGTTGCCTAATTTGCCAATGCTTGACTCCCATATTTGGCAACAGGAACTTGTCGTTGGTAATTAATTCATGGTCTCGTCTATGTAGGCTAATAATATTTTGTGTTGCCATAAATGAAGCATTTTCATTAATATGCTGTACTAAAAGAACTACTAAAATCTCAGAAATATTATTAAAAAAATATTATTAAAAAAAATATTATTAAAATAAATATTATTAAAAAAATTAATCAGCAGATAAATAAGTAGAATTATTACTTATTTATACTTATTTTTGTTATAATATTTCTGCGACTTTATATTAGCTTTATTTACTACCAAAGACAGTCTATAAGAGTGTTTAGATATTTTGGTAAAGTCCTTTTGTGGGTGTGGTAAAGCTGCATGTGCTAGATAGATCTGGCAAGTTGATATATATAATTTATACTCGCTATAGATTGATTAATCTTCGGGATTCATAAAACCTATATATTTTATCATATCTTTCACAGCACTAGAGCTCTGAATAACCGTTTACTAGAACTAAAATTTGGCATTCTCTATAAAGATAGTTTTAAGTCTTTAAAATATATCCATATATTTTTATAG